ATATATATATGAGACATATTTAATCTAACTTTTTGGAATGTTATCAAACGTATTTGTCTGGTATCTACTTATTCATTTATTTATTTGTTACTTATAGATTCATCTTGAAAAGGCTATGGAAAGATGGTGGGAAGCCCTAACAGTTGACGAACCGAAAATTGACTTAAACAAGATTGACTGTTCGAAACATTTTGACGATATGGCGCCAGAGGAGCAAATGAAAGTGCAGGAACTGATGTGGAATTGCCAGCAGAAGGTCTTAGGCAAACCAACGTCTGAACAAATTGTAATTGTCTATATCTTGTTCGGTTAGCATGTATAAAGCGAATATTAATTTCAATATTTTGTAAATAACATTGTTACATTGCATTTACAGAAAATGGAGGCTACTTTGAAGCAGGCATGGAACGCGAAAGGATCGCCTTTCCAGGGTACACCTTACGACCCTTCTATTTTAAAATACAATTAATGTATGCCAGTATTTTTTGTGGGAAACATTCACAAACGTAAACTCGCCTCGTGGGAAGAATCGATGCCACCCAATATCAGTTCACCGCCGAACACGCCCGTGACATTTCGATTTAGATAGAAGCTAAAAATTTGTTGGGACACCATCTCTCGATTAATCATGTTTCGGAAAACAGAAGGATTATTAAAGTGAGATAAGGCTGGATAACCCATCCCCAGAACGCCGTCGCATTGTGCAGAGTCCCAAAAACTTGTCGAGAAATTGTGCGCTACTCCGAATGTCTGATAGGATGAAACCTTAAGGCCAGCAATAATTACTACATCTGCAAATAAAGACTGCCATATACCCTTATCTTTGTAACTAAAATAAGCATCACCCAGTGATATATCTGTGGTAGACTTTATATGATCAAACTTATTATGTTTCAAGCAAGCAGGTTGGCTGACGTTGCAGTCTTTGGATGGTACCCAGAGATCTGAGTAACCAGTATCGATAAGTACTTTAAATGTCTGCGGTGGCGTACCAATTTCGATAGTACCGCAGTATTGAAAATTTCTCCAATTGATCAGAGGTACGGTTGCCGTATCCGAACGGAATCGTGGGTTTGTCTTGTATAACGGAATTTTATACACGTCCTTATACACCTCCGCGTTGATTGACGCGAAGATGATTACCGTGATTACCGTCATTGTCACAAAGAGCCGATACATGTTTCCTGAATTTCTCGGCGACTGAAGCTACAAAAGTCAAAATTATTTTAGGATCGTTATAACTGCGAGTCAATCCACAACCGGTACGTGCAGACAAAGAACAAGCCTTAATATATATTCTGTGAATATATACCTTAATATATATTTTGAAATTTCAATGTTTATTAACCCTAGAATCCATGAGAGGGGTCGATTTCGACCCCAGGCAAACTTTAAAAAAAGAGGTTTTTGCTGATTTTCTGCATTTTTCGGTCTTTAAATGGCTTTTTTCACTAACTAAACTTGAGTAAAATTAAATTTACCGTATATACCATTCTCTTCGTTATTAAAAAACGAAGAAATTCATGTAGGTTTAAAGGCCCTTTATTTCTGTAGGACCGGTTTTACGATCAAATAAAGCGTGGGGTCGATATTGCCCCCAGTCATGGATTAGAAGGTCAAAAAAATGATACATGGATTCTAGGGTTAAATAATATTTATTTTAAAATATTTATATTGTAATAATTTTATATGTAAATATACGTGTATATATAATATATGCAGTATATATAATTTAATCGCTTGGAAATCTTCCTGTTTTAATATCCTGGATATTTTGTTTCATATGTTTTATACTTATATGTCATGTATTTAATATTATGAAAATTATGAAGAAAAACAACGAAATATTTTTAAATAAAATAATTCAAATGGATATTGCACTTTCATATTTGAATATTGTGCTTTGATAAAAAAAGCTTCGACCCAAAAGGGTAATAATTTGCAAACAAATTCTTAAAAGACAAATTTATATAGATTTCCATATTTAAATATTCGCTGAACATATTATGGACAAGTTTGTTAATCGTGATTTTATGTAATTAAACTATTAAACCTTTCCTATTTTCGAAAGATTGATGTGTAATCTTTTCAAGATGTATCTATATCTATAAAATCTACGACATTTTCAGATCCATGTTGGAAGATCCATTAATTATGGCGATGGATGAAATGCCCATTTTCTCCGTGATCACGTTTTCCTGCGCGACGATCGTGGCGAGTCTTCACATTTCCTTTTTAAAAATAAATAGCTAATCTATACGAAAGCAAAGAGCTGACGCTTCTGGATCTCGACGACGACGACACCCTGTGAAATCGCGAGGCGATCCGAGAGTTCGTATAGAATGCGCGGAATCCTACGCTTTTCCCTGGCGTTTACGCCGACTTTATATCACAATAGCGGTGGGATCGTTCGCTATATACAGGGACGAGGCAGGAGCGGTTCGCGGACGGCAGGTACACAGCCTCGAAGAAACTGTTCTCATTTCGTTTAAGTCGCGTTCGCGACCTTCCTAATCTTCTACCCTGCTCTGACCGATCCCAAACAAATTTTTATGAATGTAGCAGATTACAATCAGGTAATCGGCACATATCTGAATGAGATCCGCGTTGCTCCGACGACTATTGTTATGGAAATTGCAGCCGTAGGAATAAAAATTTCACAAGAAATCCTGAAGAGACTCAAATGAAGCTAACGACTCGGTCGGATCTTTAATCCGGCTTTAAAATTTAGAATGTGGTAAGCAACAAGACTCTCTCGAAAGTATTTGCAGGTTTCGATCTCCTGCACGCAGAAATCTTCGAGCGTCGCGTTTCCGAGGAGAGCGATATCGTTTTCAGGTGTCGCGCGGCATCGTAATCGGAATACCATTCGCGGACTCGTCGCGTTCGTTTAGAACGCGCTAAATAATAGATAGTTTCTTCGCATCGCGATGGATATCCTCTGGGAATATTCTGCAAGAGTGAAGAATGACTCGATCCTTCCCTTTCCCGGCGCCAGGTGCAACGGGGCGACACAGGATCACGCGCGTTGAGCACCGCTGCCGGGTAAAACACAGGTAATATACCTGCCCGAGGCTACGAGTCCATCCCCACCTGGGGTCCGGTTCTCTCTCCTTGCTCTCTCGGCCGGCTCTCCGGCTGGCTTTCCTTCGAGGTGAGTCGGGAGCGAGTCGAGTCGAGTCGAGCCGTTAGTATCGTTGCCGTTGCGACAGGAACGGTGGTGCATGTGTGATGTGCATCGCGGCGGAGCGCGCATCCTGAAGGACGGCGGAAGATATCGCGGATACCAGGCACGGAGGTACACCCGGAGGTCCCCCAGTCGAACCCTCCCCTTTCCCCCCTTTTTCGCACCCCCTCGGTGCGATCCCGCGGGATTCGTGAGAGTCGTGCGCGCGCGCGCGCGCGCCCCCCGCGTTCTCCAAAATCCGCCGAAGTGTGGTCCAGCTCTCCTCCTCGCGGTGCGCTCTTCGTGGCAGCCTCTCCTTCCTCGTGTGCGCGCTGATGCCCACGTACATCGACCACCACGTAATCGCGGTGAGTGCGAGGTGAAGCTAACGGAAGAGACGGGAGAGAGAGAGAGAGAGAAAGAAGGTGAGAAGACCGAGAGGGGCCCCGTCGACGACGAAGAGGAGAGAAAGGAAGAGAGAAGATACCGAAGATAAAATACCAAGATGCCGTGCTCCGCGGTGACGCTGTCTCTTGCCACCATAACCGGTATAATCGCCACTGCCCTCCTGGCGATCGCCTTCTCCACGGACAACTGGCTCTACACCGAGGTCAAGCGCGCTCAGATCCAGGTTCGTATCCGATCCTCCCCGATACCGAGATGAGGGGCGTCCCGTCGATCCTGCCTCAGCTCTGTCGAGATCGCGCTTCGCGCTTGGATAGACGCGAGAGAGACGCGCGAAAGTCAGAAGTGGAAGAGATAACGCGAGTCGCTTATTTACAGAAAAGGATGCTTCTCTGACAAAAATGATTAATTAAGATAGATAGATTTATTTACTTCAGCACGTCGATAAATACTGATTGGAAAGTATCTTTGTTGTATCTCATCCTCGATCTCATCATAATTGTTTTTACATAAGATACATAATGTAAATTGAGCAATTGCAAATATTTTTGTAAAATTTCTATTGTCTTTTGGCTCACTCTACATCAAATTAATACAAAAAGTTGGAAAGCACAATATGTACATATATATATTATGTATTCGATATAGAATTAGCTGAAAGACATAGAAATCTTATAGAAAAATATTCGTAATTACTCAATTAACATATAAAAACAATTATGATGACGTCAAAGGTAATAAAAATACCAGTACTCGAATTGACGCATCAACGTTGAATTAAAGTCGAATTAAAGTCGATTTGATTTATCATTTCTGGTTGGAAAAACATCGAAAAAGATAATAGACGCATTCGAGTGCATTTCCGCGCCGAGATATTTTCATAAATATTAGATAAATCGAGTTCGGTTTGCTCTCTAATTGTCAGATGCAAAATTAATTAGATGTAAACACCGATTAACTTTAACATATGTCCGTAGGAATGGCCTCGAATTAGAAAGTGTATAAATATTTAAAAATATCTAGAAAAAGGATGTGCGTTGTTCGTGTCACGATATGTCACATAATTTAACAAAAATCCAATCAATTTGACTTCCGATCTCGATAAACTTCAAATACAATGAGTTCAGTGATATGTATTCCAAAATTATGGATGCGTCCCTTAAGATATGCCTCCACTGATTTACTTTAAAACACAAATTCTTTCGCCTCTCCGTTTCCTCGAGAAAGCGCTCAAAGCGTTTTTCTTTTACACAAATGCGTGTCTCCGCATTCCAAAAAAAACCCATTCGACCGGAAACATACTATCTTACCGATTTGTCTAAAGTAACGAGCAAGGATTTTCCAAAGTAGCGTATCTTCGTATCCGACGTTTCAGATAAAAATTCCTTTCAATCGTATCTTCGCCGCGTCACCTGTATTTAAAAGCAGGTAGGATGCACGCGCTCGTGAGAAGAATTAAAGAGGAAAGTTTTTCTTTTATCTCGTAGATAATTCACGGAAGGAGGTGCGAAGGCACGAGGATACTTCTTATCAAATTATCGCGCCGAGAGGAGATCTCGACGACGCCGCGACGAGTAGATAAGACACCCGACTCCTGTCGCGAGTACGTTCTACGTGCGCATCGAGGAATCTCTTATGAGAAACGCGTCACAATGGAAATTGTTCGCCCGTTTGCAAGGACTCGGCGCGGCGTCGCGTTAATGTATGCAATCTGAGAGGCATTGAGAGAAAAAAAAAAGTCAAAGTGGATTGTGAAAGCGTGAGATCTGACGGTGGATCCTCGCGATGTTGCGCGACGATGTCGCGGAGCGTCATCGGTGATCGGCGTCGTTGTTGATTTGAAGCTAATTCGGTTCGGCCGCGGACACGCTCCACTCCGCTCCGCGTTCTCTCGATCTTTTATGCAAATTCTGATGAAACTGCCGCTGTAAATCGGCGGACGGTCCCCGCGCCGAGCGAAGGCTTCGATCATTTATGAAAATGGCCATCTTCCTGCCCGAAGTTGGATCGCATCCGGATCTCGTTACTTCTGACGGCCGGAGCTGTCATCAGCCGCCCGTGCGCGCTCGTGAATCTAATTTCTTCCACATCCTCCGCATCCTTAAGGATGCGAGTACGCCGCGAAGAAACTCGATTGCGGCGCGGCCGTGGTCCTTGGGCTTTCTCCAGTCCCCCTCCCCTTATTCTTCTCACTGATAACAATTTCATGGCCCACGCAGCGACACGTAAATTGTATCGCGTTAATGGACACAATTTCCGACATCGTTATAATCCCATTTCCGATCACACAACAGATATTTACTAATATACGACGAGTCAACGGATCATTATAGTAATTTCTATGATTACGTATTATCGTTGCTATTATATATCGTGCTTTTGAGTAACCACAATTTGAACTATGAACTATATTTAAAATAAATACACTAAAATTACTCGCAATCGACGCGATTGCCATTTAAAGACTAAGCGGTTACTTAAATTAATTCAATATTTCGTATGGCTCCATTTAGAGAGAAGTATGCTTTTAAGGATTAGAAGAAAAAAATTATTTTAGTGAAATTTTCACGCTTGCCTAGCGGGTAAAATATACTTTACGGAAACAAGCTATAAATGTCTGATGTGTAATTTCTTCGCTTTTTCGAAATTAGTAATTCATAACAAGAGACAGGATATAAAAAACTATTCCACACGATGAATTTTTTTAGTTAAAATATACGATCAAATAATTGAGAACAGGGCCGATAGAAATTACTATTAATTAGCGAACCTGACAAAAAGTAGCATTAATTAGCGGGAAGATTGCGTAATCTCTATTAGAAGATCCAAGTGGAATGCGTTCTTCCTCGAGAAGGGGGAGAATAGGAAGTAGAATTTCCCGCGACTTCCGCCGTCCTTCTTGTGGGTGAACGCACGGGTCGAAGGTCAAGTTTACCCTCTAGGGTCGTTGAAAGTCGGACGTTGTTCTCACGAGTTCTTCGTGGAATCGGAAAGATGTCAGTGGCATTTAAGGAAGACGCCAACGAACACTAGCGAGAGGTGCTTGAAAGCCTATATTTGATTCCGTTCAACGAGAAACTTCAGTTAACTTGATCATGGCGGACGTTTTTTTTTTTTTAATACCGAAGTCAATGCTAAGAAGGTCTATGTTATCTAAATGAAATCGATTGAGACAAAAATATCAAGTCAACCAAGCATCTTGAATAATCGATGCAATTAATCATAAATCGTCGATTCGACGATTAAAACAATTGCAACGCGACCCATTGTTGCGACCTGTAATTCGTGCAATTAATTGTGCAATTAAATTAACTTTAGGTTTGTTCGAGCAAAGTGACCGCATTCCTTCTTTCGCACATCCAAGCAATTTTTGTCTGACGATAGATTCTTTTGAAACGAAAGATATGAGGTTTTCGAACGTTCAAGCGTTTTTTCTCGGATGTTCTGATTTAGATCCTTTGGGGTATTCAATTTTACAGAATCAAAATTTTTAGTTCCGACTTGAGAGGCATTTTAATAGGACGCCTCGAATGATAAATCGATTCGTTGGCGTAGCGAATTACGCCACGGCTCGACGCAAAACGCAGCTCGGCGCACGCGAAATATTCCGACGTTGATGTAATTTCCTGTGCAACGCAAAAATCATATCCACGGGCGAACGTAAGAATAGAAATTATTAAATGACAGATGCGCGGACGCGCGCGTTGCTACGCGTCATCCAGCATGTAGGTGCCGCGTATCCATTCAACATACGATCATCTGGCCGTATTTAAGCTATTATGCTTGAGAACCACAATTTATATATATATATATATATATATATATATATATATATATATATATAAACATACGATCATCGTACGACGAATTCGTCAGAGCGTTCCGCGATTAATGATCATTCTTACGATGCAACATCCTGTGTGATATTTTTTAAAATTATTTCTAACTTGGACTTACGCTTGAGAAGGACCAAATCCAACGAAACATCGGGACTTAAATAATTTGGATCAAGTAAAAATCATTTTTGTTAATTATTTACTGACCAGGCAAAGTTTCTATTTGTTTTCCTTGTTTTTCTTTTATTTATCACGAAGAAACTTTATTATTTGTGCGTCTCCGTTTGACGTTAGTACCCGCTGTCGTTATTACTCCAAGCAGCTGGAGCAATAACGACCTGTCGCCCGATTAAATCAGATTATCTCGTCGTTAGCGGAATCTCATTTCGCGTTTATCCCGTTCCTCCTTTGCGCTTTTCTCTTTCTCTCAGCCGGCCGTGGCGGCTCTCCTCTCCTCTCTTTTTCTCTCGTTCTCGTCTCGATCTCCCGATATCTCGTCCCGTGTATACCTTCGGAACGATCGACATTCCGAGCCGCGCCCATTCTCAGCGCGTTGACTCGACGAGTCTTGTTCGGCTCGGTGCGCCGATCGCGCGGCCGATCGCGCGGTATGTCCTTTTGCGCGAGAATCGAGAGACGCGAGAGACGAGCTTCCGTTGATCGCGAGATTTCACGCAAGCACGCTCTCCTCTCTCGGGAGAGCGAATCCGCGTAAATGGACAGCCGCGCGCGCGACAAGAATCTGCCCGTGTCTCATTCTCGCGAGGCGTGATTTCCATTTTATCTCAAACGATCACGTCGCAAATCCGAGAGCTGCGCGATATTGAAACAGTTTTCCAGTATTTCGTCAAAATTTTTTCGTCTTTAAACTTATTTGGCATTCTATCGAAATCCCATGTGGACTTTCCGGATTCTGTGCTCGGTAGTTCTGCGTACGCTGTTAAATATTAAAGGATGAAATTTAAATCAATATCTAGAGTTAGATAACATTTTGTTATTTTTAACTACCATATGTGTGTCAAAATTTATTATTTTAACATAAAACAGTATTATTTTAACTTCATTGGTTTTAGTTGAATTAATGACATAGACATATTGAATAGAAGCAGTGGACCTATAGGAATGATTAAAAATAACTCAAATTGAGTATAATTCGACACTACGAATTTAACGATCAGTGGTCAGTGCAATTCCATTAAATCAATTTTAGAAGAAATGCCATTTACGAGCCAAGCTGGATTTTGATAGCCTATTAATATTTCTGTGTATTTGATACACATATTTCCAACTTATTATTAGTAAACTCAGTAAACTGCACCGATTATTTGACGGACTTGAAACACAGCTTCCGTTGGAACAGTAAAATTCCCACCCCTACTTAAATCGGTAA